TGTTTCCATTATGTTTATAAAAGTCATCTTATTAAGTCATTATATGTCCTGTTTTCAAGATTCTTATTGAAGCTTAGTTTCCCCTCAGTATTCAGACCACTCTTATCAGTCATACTTTTCTCAAAATTCATTACCTTTAAATATCTAAACTTTTCATTTAAATACACCATCTCAATGCCTTATATCTTAATCACTTTTTTGGATTTTTAAAATTGTATATTGAAGTGATTAAGACCTTTGAACTGGCAAGATCTCTCATACCAATTTCTGCCTCCTTAAAAGATGATGGTGCAAATTTATTTGATGACTTTTTTTAAAGATACATAGTTTTGGGGGGTTTTTGACTGTAGAAAAAGGATGGCTAGTACACAGATTTTGGAAAGTTTACAATGGATTAAGAGGCCAGAGGATTCAGAATTACACTTCTGAATTATTCAGGAGGTATTTTCTCATGGGAAAATGGAGATTGCTTTAGGGGTTTTTTTTTATAATAAGGTTAAGCTTGAATGCTGGATGCTGCAGCAAGGGCATAACGAAAATGGAACAGAAAGTACGGTACCTCTCAGCTATGCTTTGGGACAGAGTTGATAAAATGTTTGATAAAACTGAAAGACCTTGTTCTAATGAAGTTGTAAAACAAAAACGAGCTGCAGTGGACATCTATGAAATTAATTTGAAGAGGGATATCAATGTAATGCAAATGGATCTGATGGACACCTTATTCCCTAAAGAAGATGAACAGATATTAAATGAGGACATTTATTTGGATATTTGTTTTCTGGATGTACAAGAGCTCTGCTAAGATTTGGAAGGACTTTTTTTAGAAGTGACAAAAGGTTAAAAGAATAAAATAATCAAATCTGGTTGCCTTTGCTGGGAAAGGTTGATTGATATAGCCTTGTCTTTAACAAGGCATGATTGAGCCTACTGTCCATAATGGCTGTTTTGTGAGTATGAGCTTCATGTAATCCTGACTCCCAGCCACTCCGCTCATAAGCTGACCCAAAAAACTGGCATTTCCCACGGTCTGCTCATGAGGATAGCCTGTCCAGTGTCACATGGATGATCTCAGCTATCCAACATCTAGCCACGATTCCCGTTGCAAAAGCTGACTTGCTAGCTACCAAAATCCAACAAGACATCAACTCGCTGAGGTAGGAAGTCAGTATTAAGGACTGGAAATTCTGCTCCTTTTACCAGGGCTTCATGTCTGTTTACTTCACATTCAGCCCTATATTATTCTCCACTCTCCAACCCTTACACCTCAGTAGGTTCTGCTCTAGTTAAATTAGCCTTGCGGTTGTTCCCTTATACTGAGTTGCTTATGTTTTGTTTTGATTTGTTTCTCAGGCCTTATCAGTGTGTAGGAAGATTGCTCTTACAATTAACTTGTGGCTGGCTGGCTGGCTGCCTGACAACAGCGCCTGACAACAGCTGTCTGCATTTTGGGAGCTGTGAGGCTTTTTGATTAGATCCATTTAATTTCACCTCATCAAGACACAATTGGCTGCTTCTCTAGTTCTCCAATTTAATTTATTTTCTCTTTTCCACAACCTCCACGCCCTGTGTCTTCAGAGTTTCTTTTTTTATATATCCCTGCAGTCCATGAGTTCTTAAAACCATGAGGCAGGAAAACTCACAGCAATTTTTGACTCACAGTCTGCAGATTAATGTCAGTCTTGGAGCTGGGAGGCTTTGCTACTCCTTACTCAGCTGTGGTAGCTTAAGTGTCTCCTTGATCAGATCCATTTAGTTTCACCTCATCCAGACACAATTGGCTGCTTCTTTAGTTCTCCAATTTAATTTATTTTCTCTCTTCCACAACCTCCACACTCTGTGTCTTCAGTGTTTCTTTTTATATATATAAACCTGCAGTTCAAACGTGGTCCTTTACTTTCTTAAAGTCCATGAGTTCTTAAAACCATGAGAAAGAAAAACTCACAGCCATTTTTGAGTTTCTACTTCCACCGTCTGCAGATTAATGTCAGTCTCGGAATAGAGATTATAGATTTGATGATTTAGTCAAGGTTAGATATTATCTGAGACGAGTAAGATAAAGCTCATAGAGCAGGGCTTTTCAACCAGTGGTACGGGTACCACCTGTGGTACATTGGCACCTGGCAGGTGGTACGCGGCCATCCTAGAAAAGTGGTAGCGGGGGAGGGGAATGAGCTGAACCGGTGGCAGCACCGCACAAGCCTGAGCGAGAGAGGGCTGGAGCTGCAGGGCTGTCAGGGCTCAGCAGAAGCGCCAGGATCAGTGCCGCTTTCCAGCTGATCGGCGCTTCTTCGGGGCTGTCAGGGCTCAGTGGAAGCACCAGGATCAGCGCCAGGCTCCAGCTGGAGCTTGGTGCTGATCCTAGCACTTCTGTTGAGCCCAGAAGAAGTGCCAATCAGCTGGAATGTTGCAGCATCTCCAGGGTCTTGTGATTTACATTCAGATGCTTGGCAACTGATTCATATTTATGACTGTCAGTGTCTCGGTCATGTGAAGTGACCAAAACCTGCTGCAACCACCCAGCAGACGGGGGGGGGAAATAAAAACCAAACACCCCCCCACCCCACCCCTGCTGCCAATCCTCAACAGACATGCTCACACAATGAAAACCTCGGACAGGAGGAAGAGCGCCGCCAGGCGGGCAGGCAGGTGTCTTGCTCGGTTGCGGCTGGGGGGGCACTTTTTTCAGTGCCATTGTAACTTCAAACAGTCACTAAGTGAACTGTTGTAAGTCGAGGACTACCTGTACTTTATCACTTTTTTCCTTTTTTTTTTTTTTGGTCATCAAGTTTTTGACACCTTGCTAGGCGACTGGTGGTACTCAGATGTTGCCATATCCTAAAAGTGGTACAATGGGTGAAAAGGTTGAAAAGCCCTGTCATAGAGAGCAAGAGTAAGACTAGCCAGCCCCACAAGTTTTAAAAACATTAGAGCTCTTAGGAATAGGTCTACATACCATGTTCGGAATAAGGTGGGGACTGTGAAATGCTGGGAAAAAATGTAAGCAACATTGCAACATCTGAAACCCTATGGAGATGAGCTTCTCTCTTACCCATAACTCACTGTGCTCCATTGTTCTGGCTAGTTCACTATGTTAGTTCTGGCTAGTTTACTATGTTAGTTCTGGCTAGTTCACTATGAAGTGAAGAGAAAGCAGGAGGGTCCCTGTAGATATGTTCAGTAGCATCTTTTAGGTAAGGAGCAATATCCCCTCTTGTGTGTGTGTGTGTGTGTGTTTGATGCAATGTAATAAGCTAGTTGGCTGCAAAGCTTTTTTGATTTTGCTGGCCCTACTGAAGGTAAAAATCTGCTTGGGCAGTCGATCTTAGCTGCTGCAACAATCTTGAATGGCTGTATTCCTTCTCTGAGAAACAAACATCTGCAATCTTTTCCTTTCAAAAATGAACAAATCCATAATAATAGGCAGTGTACTTATAAGAGCAGTATAATAGAATCAATACTTGATGGTCTCTTTCATATTTGACCATCTAAAAGTTTTCTAGTAATTTCTTGGAGGAACTGTTTCAAATGAGCATTGTCATCTTATTTCTCTCTCATTTTTCTTCACAAAAGTGACTTTTCATGTGGCAGAACGAAATGTTGGGCAATGAGTTGCATGCAGTAATATGAATGTGTTGCCCGGAGTTTTCATATGCTTTGAAGAAAAAACAATGAACTAACTTTCTTGAGGCTGTCACTAATATACTTGCAAGCAGGGGATTGAATGTACTCTATCTTTTCATTTCTAAGGGACAAATATTCTAGCGCATACTACCTTAGTATGCGGGATGTACAGGTAGTCCTCGACTTAATACCATAATTGAGCCCAAAATTTCTGTTATTAAGTGAGACATTTGTTATGTGAGTCTTGACCCATTTTATGACCTTTCTTGTTAAGTGAAACACTGCAGTTGTTAAAGTTAGTAACACGGTTGTTAAGTGAATCTGGCTTCCCCATTGACTTTGCTTTTCAGAGGGTCGCAAAAAGGGATCACATGACCCCGGGACATTGCAACCGTCATAAATATGAGTCAGTTGCCAAGCATCTGAATTTTGACCCTGTGCCTGTGAGGATGCTACAACGGTTATAATTGTGAAAAATGGTCATAAGTCACTTTTTTCCGTGCCATTGTAACTTTGAACAGTCACTAAATGAACTGTTATAATTCGAGGACTGCCTTAATATTGATTGAACTGGAACAATGAGATTCACATTGTTTGAGCACGTGACTGTACCATATACTGTAAATCTGGCTGTGGAAGCACTATCCCATCTGAATGTATTGGAATCTGACTGCCATTGGTCCTGGTGTGGATACTGTTGAGTTATGGTGAGCAATAACTGGAAGAATCACAATTTTCCCATTCCTTTAATATTGCAAATTGTTTGAGGGTATACTACAACTGGCAAATGTGAGGAGACTACGTATTTTTGGGGAAAGGCCCTCTTGCTTGTTATGTCTGAATAAGGAAGGGTACGTGTTGTGAATTGGGTTGTTCTTGCCTGCACTGAGGACACCTATTGTTCTAGAACTAAGAACACAAATCTGGGATTTTCTCAATTTCTGAATGAAAGGTGCTGCCAGTTTTAGCTAGAAGAAAAATAATTCTTAGGAATCTAAACTTCAGGAAATCACTTCAGTAAAGGAAAAACAAGAGCCATGGTGGTGCAGTGGTTAGAATGCAGTAATGCAGGCTGACTCTGCCCGCTGCCAGCAGTTCGATCCACCCAGCCAGATAGGTTATATGCTGGTGGTGCAGTGGTTAGAATGCAGTATTGCAGCTAATTCTGCCAACTACCAGCAGTTCGATTCTCACTGGGTCAGGGTTGACTCAGCCTTCCATCCTTTCAAGATCAGTAAAATGAGGACCCAGATTATTGGGGGCAATATGCTGACTCCGTAAACCGCTGCAAAACACTATGAAGCGGTATATAAGTCTAAGTGCTATTGCTATTGTTATAAAGTTGCCAAATTCTTATTTAATCACTCAGGCTGTGGACAATGATGAGGGCAAAGGCTTGGATCCTGAAGCAGCATTTTGAAGGGGTTCCTAAGGAGAGTGACTTTGAATTAATAGAGATAAACCTACCAGATCTAAACAATGGAGGTAAGAGGAATTGTTGGATTATGATTTGTATTACAGGTTTCCCATGTCAACAACCTTTGTCCTAGTGTTTTTTGGTTTTTTAAAAAAAATATGATTGCTGCACCCAAGCATATCTTGCAGAAAATATTAAACACATTACGCTAAAAAAAATTGCTTTGAAAATTGCATTATGACAAGCACCTTCAAAGATGTTAATTTAGGGGAGAAATACATCCTGAAAATTCATGTATGAGTGGTGATTTTTGTTTGTTTGTTTTTAAAGTTCACAATGAATTTGGAAACGGGACAAATGAAGTCGAGATTGGAAAGTGAGAAACTATATTGTTGAAAGCTGGTTAATTAAATCATGGGCCAAGAGTATTTGGCCCATGAATCTATAAAATGAAAGACTGTTTTCAGTGTTGAGTTGTTTTGAAGTGACCTGCTCTTACACCATTTGATCAGAAAAAATCACTGAGAAAAACATCATACAACTTAAATGAAAAGAATGCTCTCAGACAGATTTCATCTATTCCTCCAAGTCCAAAATTTCTAGGTTTTTTTTGCTCTCTACCCGAGGCCTCAAATTGAATGAATAAACGAATAAAAAATACTTTGAAATTTGTATTCCTTGCTGTTCCCACCTCTTTATTGGTATAATGTATTTCCTTCTATTTCTTACTTATTTTTTCCCTAAGGCATATATAACAATAAAATTTTTAACAGAAAAATAGTATAAAAGCTACACATTTTGTATAACTGGTAAAATAGCATGGTGTAAAGAAACACTTTCCCTCGTGCATATAAATTGCATTTTCAGACTAGTGCACCTCTCCCATTTTCTGTCCATTCCTTCCTGGTTTCTTTTAAAAGAAAATAGATTATCAAATGGTAGTTTTCTCTCCAGTAGAATGAGGGCAATTCGGAAATAAACCTCCATTTGGTTATCAATGACAGATACTTGCAGATACAGAATTTTTATTATATACACATTAGAAAACTACAACATTACATTACTTTTTGACATAATCGCCATTCAAATTGAGGCCCTTGTCATAACGTCTTACAAGGTTTGAAATTCCCTAGTAGTCGCTCGGCGCCAAATCTGGGCTATAGGGGGAGGTGATCAAAAACATCCCAATGGAACTGCTTCAAAAGTTCTTAGGTGCGTCTAGCGGTGTGCGGGCGAGCATTATTGTGAACTAACAACACATCGGAAGTGGTGCCATAGAAAATCCCGCCAAATGTGAAGATACCAAAAGAGTACTGCTAGTGAAGTTCATGAAGCGTGGTTCGACCATCAATTCAGACGTCTACCGTGAAACATTACGAAAACTCAGATGACCCATCCATAACGAGTGTCGGGGCATGCTGACTTCCAATGTGGTGTTGGTTCACGATAACGCTCGCCCGCATACTGTTAGATGCACCCAAGAACTTTTGAAGCAGTTCTGTTGGGATGTTTTTGATCACCCCTCCTCCAATAGCCCAGATTTGGCACCGAGCAACTACTACTAAGGAATTTCAAACCTTGTAAGATGTTATGACAAATGCCTCAATTTGAATGGCGATTATGTCAAAAAGTAATGTAATGTTGTAGTTTTCTAATGTGTATAATAAAAGTTCTGTATCTGCGAGTGTCTGTCATTGATTACCAAACGGAGTTTATTTCTGAATTGCCCTCGTATATTAGTTTGATGTTTCATAACTTTTTGTTCTGTATTTCAGAGCTGCTGCTTGAAAGTGTGTTTCTCAGTGTGGATCCCTATATGAGGTATTATTGTTTGACTTTGTGTTTCAGTACTAAAACCCCACTTTATTCTGACCATTGACTTTTTCTCCTAAGTTCCCAATTATTGTACTTTAGCCATCTCTCAACAGCCTTTTTGATAGCAGAGGGCAGTATGAATGAAGGCAAGTATATGTGTCCCAGGATAATGTTGCAGGATCCAATGAGTGTTGGTCACCTAGACTAGAGGTTTAGTCTTCCAAGCTTTCAGAATTGTGTTGAAGTCCATCCATTCTGGTGAGATAGAAGTTCCCTGAGGATGGGCTTCAGCATGAGTCTGAAAACCCAAAAGATTAAACCTCTGGTCCCAGTGACCATCTCAGATTAGATCCTGCAGAAGATAAGTATACATATTTTCCTAATTTTGGCCTGAAGATGCCTTATTCCAGACATGTCAAACTCGCGATGTCAGGTGACGTTGCGTGACGTATCGGGACTGTTTTGCCATTTCCGGCAATGGGGTAGGCGCGGCTTCCGCGTGATGCGTCCTGCCTGTGGGCCGGCAGTTTGACACCTCTGCCTTATTTAGTCAACCTTATGGGCATATACACATGACGCAGCCTTCCTCTCTTTCCCACCCCATCTGAGGTTGGCTAATTTCAATTTTTTCTCTCTAAAATGTGCAAATGGTATTTTGCATCTTTTCTAATACAAGGCTTTTGTAGGCCAGGAATGGACTGTTTTGGGCTGCTAGAGACATGCCCCCTCTTCTTGGTTTGCTGCAAAGTCCCTTCCTCCCATCTAGCCATATAGTTTGTGATGGTGGAATGACATAATACCACAAAAGTAGCAACACCACCAAGAATTCTAGAGAAAGTGGAAGCCCCAAGACTTTTCTACAGTAACCTTCCTTAACAACTATTTAGAGACAAAGATCCAAATACAGATAGTTGTTGAATTACAACCATTTGTTTAGTGATTGTTCAAAATTATAAGGACACTGAAAAAAAGTGATTTATGACTGTATTTCACCCTTAGAGTGATTCTGATCTAGTTGCTATTACTGGAGACACACCAAGCGCAAGAGAGCAATGTATTTGTTTAAAGATATGACAGATGGCTACGCCTGCTGTTCTAGACATTTAGCCGAAGCAAATTATACTGGCATATTTTGTGGTTTTTCATGGTCTGGAGAATAGAACATTTAATCATTGTTTGCACATACCAAAAGGTTTTTGATGTAGCACAAATGAGTAACTATGTTGCGTCCTGAAAGAATAACTTCCTTTCCAAATTAGAATTTGTTGTAACTTATATTAATGTCTAATTATGTATTTTCATATGACCTAAATATAAAGTTGCCACAAGAAGTGGCTTATACTACAGATCAAAGTACAGTATTCATTGCTTCCATAGCTAGATATAAAACATGACATAAAAGCCTGGCTCTGGCCTAACTTCATTATGAAATGAGTTTGACTTGAGTCCAGGATAAATCACTTACATTTATGTTCCTCTCTCCTAACATGAATTAAGCCTGTCAATCATGTCAGTCATTAATTGGTCCCATGTATTTCTCTAAAGAAAAATTCATACATTGATTTTTGCTTCATTTTTGTTTTGCAGACTATACAGTAAGAGTTGGATGAAGGAAGGAGACACTATGATAGGAACTCAGGTTGCAAGGTAAGATCTACCTTGATTTATGTCCTATTCCACCAGCTGGTGGTCTCCCTTTCTTACAGGTGAAGTTAAGTTGGGCATTGGGCAATAAAACAAAAAGTAAAGCAACACTCACATTTGTATCTGTATTCTGTTGGAAACAAGTATGGGCTGAGTCAGAGAAATTGCATAAGGTCCTCATTAAGGCTACAATATTAATAGTAAATAATACACAGTCCACAAGACCTTTCAATTTGATAGACTTTGTGGCCTTGTCCAAATTGAAAGGGAAAAAATGCATAATTAAGAATATTCAAATAGAACCTACAGTACAGCAAGCTGTATCGCTGGTGCTGTTCCAAGGATAACTGAATAAACATTAACAAAAGATTCAGCAAAAAAAAAAAGCTTCCCAGCACAATAAGAGTAATAAAATCAGGTTTTAAATGCATGAAAAGTTCTTCACTTGATATTGAAAATACTGCAATTCAGGGACCATCCTAGCTTCTCCTGTGGGGCCTCTTCTCCTCAAATAATGGAAGGAAATGAAGCTTTTAGATATTTCAAAGCCATTTAGGACTTTAGAGAATAATATCAATGCTTTGAAATATGCCTAGAATGGTCTCATAACAAGCTCAACCTAAAAATTCCCTGCAGTGTTGTAGTGTCAGATTGTGAGTTACACTGCTCCTTCATAAATGTTTAGAAAGGATGATTAAAAACTGGTTATGTTTGCAATCCATAGAGTTTCTTTGATGACTAGTATAACTAGGTACCTGTGTTGTTTTCAAAGGGTTTTGGAAAGCAGAAATCCTTCATTTCCTGTAGGAACTTTTGTTGTGGCAACTGCGGGCTGGACAACACATTTTATTTCCAATGGCAAAGACCTATCACCACTGCCTTCAGACTGGCCAGAAAAACTTCCAAGATCATTGGCTCTTGGAACAATTGGCATGCCAGGGTAAGTGTATCCTAATAATGTACTTGATGGAGATGATGTGATGGATTGTAGCCCAGACTTTAAATATTGCTACATGGTACTTGAGCTAAGGGTGGTGCTGCATAGGCTATTAAACCTAAGACTGATGGTTCCACAATCAGGGAGCCTATGAGAAACATACCTTTTACCTGGGAAAGGTATGTGCTTAGTATTCAGAGGATGTCAGCCTAATTCTTCGTTCCCTGATTCTGGGGGAGAGGGGGGGCTGAACAGCAGCATGTCCAGAAACATTTTCTTGAGTCCTAACTAAGTCCCGTGCCCCTCCTGTGTTTATTTTTTATTCTGTTTTTCAAATTCATTTTGTTAAAAAAAGTTTTTTTGCAAAATAAAGACAATACAAATGTATAGAAAAAAGGATCTAAAGTAAAAATGATAAGTAAACCGAAAAGAAATAAAAAAGCAAAAGAAAAAGAAAGGTATAAATAAATAGCTTCCAATCTTTTTTTTTTTACAGTAATTATAATAAAACATATTTATCTTTAGCCTTTCTAAGCTAAAGATCACAGGTCCCCTCTTTCCACATTCTACCCTTTCTAATCATCTGACCCATATTTCATAAGTTTTTTTTTTCTTCTTTCAGCAAAAAGTGCACATTAAGGTTTCAAGTCACTAACAGTTGTCAGGCACAAAGGATCAGGATTATAATGTTCGGTTGCAGCATAGAAGATTTATTCAAGTCTACACAGAAGAGTCTAGTCAACTAACCATCAGCACTACAATGGTGCTAGATAAGATTTAATGGAATTTAGAGGAGGCTGGATTTGGATCATTTGTGGCAACATAAGGACTCTAAACTGATGTCATGTTTAACTCCGCCCCCCAGCTCTGCCTGCTCTTCTATACAATGTAGTTATTGTCTTTTCCCTAATCAAACAAGTCAGTTTTGTCATCTCTGCATATTTTGTCATCTTCACCAACTATTCCCCCATTGTCGGTATTTCAGAGTTTTATGCATACAGTTTTAATAATCTTGCTGCATTTACCATGTACAAAAACAGAGGTCTGTAAGTCTTTTCTAGCTGTTTGTCCAAGAAAAGTTCTGGTTCCAGTTAAATGTTCATCTTTACAATTCTTTGTATCATTGTGTGCATTTGAACCCAAAAAGCTCAGCTGTTGGTCAGGACGCCCACGGAGCTGACACCCACGCTGCCAGGTAGAACAGCGCCAGCCGCTGGTCTCCTTTGCCGCCCCGCACGTCCTCGACCCCTCCCCTGCCCGTTCATGTCGAGCCCGTGGGGGCTTGACAGGGAGAGAGGGAGGGAAAGAGGAAGGGACTCCTCCTCCTCTCCTGAGATTCAAAGCATGATCAACTTCCCAAGGGCGCCACAATCCCAATTCATGTGTTTCTGCCGTACCTCCTCGGCGCTCCCGGGAATGGGATGGGGGGAAGAAAGCTTGGCTAGGCTAAGCAAAGAAAAGCCACGGAGCCGCGAGCTAAGATCGCAGGCAGGTCGGGGAAGGGGGTGAAGAAGAGGAAGGAGATTGGGAGAGAGGAAACGCCAAGCTTGTACTCGCCTTTCCCAAGGACCTCCTGCGCTACCTCACAGGAACACCTGGTTTCAGATTTACACCGCAAAAGTTTTTCTCGCACAGAGGAGAGAGGAAAAACAGTTACGGAACACTCGGGAATCCCTTGCAAGGCACCATGTATCTTGGTGCTTATTTCCTAATGCCTTCCCCCCCCCCCCCATTTTTTCTGCTCCACCCCAAATTCGCCTCCCTTCCACTCTCCTTACGCAGCCATCTGTGGTCTTAATACAGCCCTCAGTCTGTCTCCCTTTCAACACCCCCTAAAATTCTTCATTCAGGCAGGCTTCCAGAGTTCGGCTGGCAGGATACAGGTAACCCCTCCCCCCTGTCCTGCTGCCTCCCATGGCACCGCGCCGCTCCGCATCCCGCGCCTCCGTGCCTCAAGCCTCAATGGCACAGGACCGTTGGCGTGGTCCCCAATGGCCGCTGACTTGCTCCCCACTGCCGGCGACCATGCAAGCCCTGACAACTGCTCCAGCCTAAGAAACAGGCGGCTGGGAGGCTGCCGCGGCGCTGACCTCCTGCGCCCGTCAGCTGACGACCCCCGGACCTGCGCCCGTCAGCTGGAATGTCCGGCAACACTTTGGCCGGTGAGGAAGGCGAAGGGGAGGCTGTCGCAGCGCTGAACTCTGCGCCCGTCAGCTGGCGACCCCCAAACTTGTGCTTGTCAGCTGGGAGGTCTGGCAAGGGATCCGGCTGGCGTGGAGGGCGATGGGGAGGCGGCGGCTCGGCAGGCAGTGTCCTGCCTGCCCGCGAATGTCGGGCCCACCCGCCCCATCTGTAAAAGAAAAAGTCTTCCACCCAAGCATAACTTTTAAGGATTTTAAGGACCTTTGAGAGGGAGAGAGAAATAGAGAGAGGGAGAGAAAGAGGGAAAGAGAAATAGAGGGGGAGAGAGAGAGAGGGAGAGAGAAAGGAGAGGGAGAAAGAGGGAGAGAGAAAGAGAGACGGAGAGAGAGAGAGAAAAGGAGAGAGGGAGAGAAAGAGGGAGACGGAGAGAGAAAGAAAGGGAGAAAGGGAGAGAAAGAGGGAGAGAGAAAGAGACAGGGAGGGAGAAAGAAAGGGAGAGAGGGAAAGAGAAAGAGAAAGGGGTAGAGAGATAAAGAAAGAGGGAGAGAGATTAAATTAGTAACATGGTTGTTCAATGAATCTGGTTTCTCCACTAACTTTGCTTGCAAAGGTTGCAAAAGGTGATCACATGACCCTGGAATAATTTTATGGTTGGGGGTCACCACACCATGAGGGTTGCGGCATTAGGAAGGTTGAGAACCACTGTTTTAAAGATATTTTTTATGTGTAAGCAGGTTGTTTCCATTAGTTGTAAATGTTCATATTTGAGTCCTTTTTGATTTTTGATTTTTTTTATTTTTATGTTTTGGACATGTCATGGTGTCAGTGTTTATTTTCACAAGCTTTTAATTCTTTTTTCTTGCAGTCTTACTGCTTATTTTGGCCTACTGGAGATCTGCAGGCCCAAACCAGGACAAACTGTCTTAATTAATTCAGCAGCTGGTGCTGTGGGCAGTGTGGCTGGGCAGATTGCTAAACTTAACGTAAGTGGATATGAAATATTTTGGACTTCAACTTCCAACAGCCTGATCAATGCACCAGAATTATGAAAGCTCTGGTTTGCTTGTCTCTGCTCTATTTACCTCCATGCTCCTTGATTGATACTGCAGAGAACTTTCTGCACATAATCACCTTATTTGCAACATGTCCATTTAGTCATGGGATGAGGGAATATGATACAATATGATGTCATACATCTCATGATAGCATCACTCAGTGATACCAACTACACACTGTATAACCTTCATAATCATAACATTATGATGTGTGACTGATGTCAATTACATTATTCTCATTTTTATAATATTGTTGGGATACCACTGTGTCTTCTATAGCAGTGGTGGCGAACCTATGGCACGAGTGCCACAGGTGGCACGCAGAGCCTTCTCTGTGGGTACGCGTGCCGTCGCCCCAGTCCTAGGCCTTCAGCTGGGTTTTATAAAATCTTTTCGATTTAGGCCTTTGCCGCCGTTTACCCCCCCCCCAAAATGGTTCAATCAATCAATCAATTTCAAATTCTCGTGGGAAAAAAAGATATCGCAAAGTTGGAATTGATTGATTGGACTTTTTAGTCCCACGCAGTCTGCCGTTACCACTGAAGCCATGCCCACTGAATTGGCCACACCCATCCAATTGGTCACACCCACTGAATGGGCCACGCCCACCCGGCACCCGACGCTACATAAGTGGGGTTTGGGTTGCAGTTTGGGCACTCGGTCTCTCACTGTCCTAGAACGTGATTCTTTTTGTTTTGTTTTTCTTTCTCCCTTGCTACAAAATTCTGCAAAATTTTAATAAGCTTCGTTTGTAAATCCACTTTATATACCGATGCCATTCTTGCAACCTGTTGTTTTAAAATTTATTTTCAACTTAGTCTCAGTCTTGCCAGGTAACACTTGTTCCGTAGCATCTTTTCAAAACACTCTGTCCATAGAGGCAGGTAGTCCTTTTAACACTACTAACTTACTTTTATTCCATATGACTTTGGTGTGTTTTGCTACAGTGGACAAATTTCATTTACCTCTGCCTTTATTGCAATTAAGTAATTATATCATCAGTGGAAGCTTCTTCCATGAAAAGTTGGTGTTGTTCTTTTAAGTGCCACTGTAATGGAATATAGTGATTCTCAGGAGGGAGAGGGTACATTCCAGAGGAATGGGAGGCAACTCAGCTGAGATATTATGTGTGAGAGAAAGAGATTGAAGACAGATCCTACCTAATAGTCCACAGACTATATTGTAGGTGCAGAAAATAGAATCCTGTCTGGCAGGCTTTTTCTATAGGTGTGAAACAATAAAGAGCTTGGAAGAATTGCCACATGTCATTCTTGGTTTTGTACCTGACAGCCACGATACTCACTATCTGATCAATGGGATTTTATTTATCCTAATGTGGCTTTTTGTTTTACTGTATGTAAGATATGTCACACCAGATTTATAATTCTTGTGTTTTACTTTGGTTTTACTTGCTAAGTCAGGGGTCTTCAAACTTGGCCCTTTTATGACTTGTGGACTTCAACTCCCAGAATTCCTCAGCCAGGTATTGCCTGGCTGAGGAATTCTGGGAGTTGAAGTCCACAAGTCATAAAAGGGCCAAGTTTGAAGACCCCTGTGCTAAGTCATCCTTTTTGAGCTGGCCTATAAAGTTTCTCTCTCTTGTTTTTTCTCCCCCAGCCCCCAGCTATCTCTATCTCTCAACTTAATCCCTTGAATCCAATCCAATCTCCAATCTCTCCTACCTCCTGTCTATCTCTGCCTGCCTGTCATCTCTATCTCTATTGAAAATGGTTTATGAAGAAACTCGCATAGCCTTGCAACGGAACCTGGCCCTCATTGTTATTTTTTTAACTGGCAGGGTTGTAAAGTGGTCGGCACTGCAGGTTCTGATAAGAAGTTGGATTACCTTAAGGAACTTGGCTTTGACAAAGTCTTTAACTACAAGACGGTGAAATCCCTGGAGAAGGCTCTGAAGGATGCTGCCCCCGATGGCTACCACTGCTATTTTGATAATGTACGTACAAGACTGAACCCAACTTTGGACTGGCCTATGTGTTTAGATAGGAAGGGAAGCTGATCTAAGGAATGTCCTATGTGGAAAGCTGTTTTGGCCCTGGCAAAGAAAAGCAGCAATGCATCCTTAAGTCTCCCCTGCAGCCCCCAAATCAGGCTTTTTTATATTTTGGGACACCCCTTGTATTTCTCTCTCCCAGACAGTCCACCACCGGTTTTTAAATCAGGCTTTCTTGGAAAGAAAATGAACAACCCTATGTCTCCCCCTACCCCTTCTAGATAAGGTTTTTCAGGATAGACATGAATTGTATGTGTTGTTTGTGACCCACCTTATAGGGGTTCAGCTGAGAGGCTTATTCCTCTACCTATAGATGTATGTTTCTTAGCACCTGTCAGTATATGGGAGGAAGATGAGCAGGTATGAATGAAGGACATGTGTGGTCTGTGTCTACGTGTGTGCACCTATATTAGTTGTGCTCAAGTACCTGATGCAGCTACGCCTTGCTTAATGACAGAAAGCAGGACCAGAATTTCTAAGTGATGAGGTTGTAAAGCACACTGTCAGTTGACTGCATTGCTTCACTGCGGTAGTTCCAGAACTTCCGGTGGCCATCACTAAGCGAATCCCACATTGTTAAGCATGATGTCATGCAATTGCCATTTGTGACCTCCTTCCAGCTTCCCCATTGACTTTGCTTGTGGGAAGCCAGATGGCAACCATGTGGCTGTGGGATGCTGCATGCAATATTATAATTAATTGTGAAGTAGTTGCCAAGCACCCAGATCTGTAATCACATCACTGTGGGGATGCCGTTATAGTCATAACTATGAGAACCTGTCATAAGTATCACCTGTTTAGTGCTGGAACAGTCACTGAATGAATGGCCATTAACCAAGGCCTATGTGGCACAGGCCACCCTCAACCACAGTTGAGCCCAACATTTCTGTTGTTAAGTGAGAGCTTGGTTTAATGAGTTTCGCTCCATTTTACAACATTTCTTGCCTTAATCGTTTACTTTAGTGAATGACTGAAGTTGTTAAATTAGTAACTTGGTTGTAAAGCGAATCTGTGTCAGGGCCCACTTCAATGCCTCATCTTGGAAAGTAGAACTCGTGGAAGCGGTTTCTTCCAAAAGGAGCTTTTATTAGGAGAAACTGATAGTAGGCATAATAGACAGGATCTGAGGGTTTCCCACCAGAGCAATAAGTAAAAAGTGTCCCCAAGCATAGTCCCACCCTGTAGTTCATCCAGTCAGTTCAAACAGGCCAATCCCAAGGTGTTACGTTCGTTGTGGGAAAAAGCAGATAACATCAGGCCATCTCCAGGCTGCAGCGATGTTTAGGCAGCAGCTCTTTCACACCTTCCCTTGCAAATGCGGAGATAACACAGTTGCTGGAGGTACATTCCATTCTCCTCCCCGCTTTCTAGCTGACAACAGGAGAGAGAAAATTCACAGAGGAAGAAATACAGGAACAGCAAAGGGTTACATTGTAGCAGTCGAGGAAACAAGGCAATAACCCTCAAGCGCTTCCCCCCTCCCCTCCAGGAGTATGGCAGAAGCCAGGGAGAGAAGAGAATGCAATTTGGGTTTAGAGAGAAAAGGAAAAAGGCACTTTAAAATATGGGTTCTGACAATCTGGCTTCCCCATTGACTTTGTTTGTCACAAGATCGCAAACAGTGATCACATGACCCCGGAACACAGCAATCGTCATAAATATTAACCATTTGCCAAGCATCTGAATTTTGATCACATGACCATGGGGATGCTGCAAATAGTTGTAACTGTGAAAAATGGTCATAAAATAACTTAATTCAACACCGTTGTAAATTTGACCAGTCGCTAAGTGAATTGCTGTAAGTCGAGGACTATCTGCATACTCTTGAGTCCCAAAGGATTGTCTTACTTTAAATTTGATTGTTTGGTTTTTCTTCTTCTTTCCTCTAAAAAAAGTTGTCTGTGGAGATTCTCAGTCATCCAGGTATGGTTATCCCAGAGGTGCTGTCCCAAAGAAACACAAGAAAGTCCAGTTGCCTCCAGAAAAAAAAAAAGCACCTTTGGGACTCTAATAAAGTTGTTTTCTTTTTCTGATTGAGCCATTTAGTCTGACGGGATATGTGTATACATATTTTGAATTTGATTCATTTGAAGCCCCCAAATATTTGTTTTGTGTTCAAAAAGGGTTAATCTTACCACTCCCAAAGTACTTTGACTTTTGGACCCTTTTTATGTGGCTATTTCAAACTCAAACAACTGTTTTCAAACTTGAAAATAGATCCTGTGATCCAGGTGGAGTTGACACACATAGTCACAGGTGCACAGAGAAGACCCCGCCTCGCTCACGCATAACAGCTGATAACTTTATTCATTCTCAGGGCGAGTCCCCCCCCACTTTTTTACATTTACCAAAATACTTGATCAAAGCATCCATGGGGTCGCGATGGGTCAGACACAACTTCTCAATTAACAACAACAAAGCACTTGTGCCCCGATTTTGTCTTTTTATGCCATTTTTGAGAAAAATCAGCGAACGTGTTTATTCCTGTCCCGCAGAATGAAATTCAGTGACATTCCTCTTCTCTTTTTCAGCCTGTTCTGGGCTTCCCGCTGGGTTAGCAGTTTACCCGGAGCAGTTTTAGGCAGGCTTAACAAAAAGAAAATAGGAAGGGAAGCTATTTGTGGCAGAATCAAGAATTAACTTCCCTAGTATTAGCTGTGACCTCCTGCTTCCTCCAATTGGGAGATGTTTTAAGTGCTTGAAATTCCCAAAGCAAAACTCTGTATTTTTTTCCTGTGATCTCTGCTTCTAAGAACAGATTATGGGCATTAGTGAAGCTCTTTCAAAATAATTCCATGTAGCTCAGTCAACAATATCCCTCCTCTGGGGAGTATTTTAGTCTTGGCAAATGTTGTGTTGTCTTTGTCTCCACCAGGTGGGAGGAGAATTTTCCAGTGTTGTTTTGGAGCAAATGAAGACATATGGGAGAATTGCGGTGTGTGGTGCTATCTCCTTGTATAATGACGCCAAACGCAAGAAAGGTACAAATCTCTTTTTTCTTTCTGCATGCTGTTTGCTTTCTCCTTCTCCTTCTCCTTCTTTCCCATCCTCCTCCTTCTCTGCCTCCTCCCTTTTTTCTCTTGTTTCTTATAAATATTTTTATTAAGTTTCAAAAGTAAACATTAAAATACAAACTAACGTAAAGGGGGAAAAAGCAGGGGAATAACAAGGCAGATTAAAGAATGACAAAAAAATACAACAAACAAATATAATAACAAAGGTGACCTCCAATTTATTTCAGTACAGAGATAATAATACAACAGTTTTTTTTAAAATTTAAATGAATAATCAATATTTAAGCTATCCTCAAATACTAATAATCAAAACATTTTTTTTCCACATATATACACAATATATATTTTAACATCAACTTCGTAACAGTAATCTTCTATTATTTACATTTTCCCCCTTATTCTTCTTTAGAGTATTTATCCTTATTGCCCCATTATTTCTTATTTGCATTTTTCTTCCTTCATACATTATTATATACACATTTTCCACGTTTAAACTTAAATCAAAACATTTTAAAAGATCAATATTCCTATTTTAGTCCCTTAATTTTAATCTAACACATAACACATACATTGTCAAACATATATTTAAAAAACTACTTTTGAAAGGAGACTAAACACATAAGATATTCTACCTCAGGGTAGAAATTAATAGAGGATGTGATGCAGCTTGTATCTTTTCTTTGGTCTGCCTTCATCTTTCTGTTAGTTTTTATGAAGATGGGAGAAAAAAAGCTCATTTTAGGTTTTTGAGCATAATAGCAATTTGGTATGATTACCAGCCAAATGGTATGATAGCAATATTTGATAGCGAGTGGGGAACATGGACAGATGTTCCTGGACTAATCTCCTTGTTAGAGAGAGAAATTCTACTTTGTTGTTAGTTGCAAAGTCGTGTCCGACCCATCGCGACCCCATGGACAACGTTCCTCCAGGCCTTCCTGTCCTCTACCATCTTCTGGAGTCCATTTAAGCTCACGCCTATTGCTTCAGTGACTCCATCCAGCCACCTCATTCTCTGTTGTCCCCTTCTTCTATTGCCCTCAATCTTTCGAAATTCTACTAACTTATTTCTAATCCTTTTACTGATCATTTTTATAATGAAATCTCATTTGTTTTACAATAAATACAAAAAAAGCATTTAATGCTACACTTTGAAAAAAAGATGCTGTTACTTTAAAAAATATATTAAAGTGCTTTAATGATTCAATTTATTAAAGCAGCAGCATCTTTTAAAAGCTCATATCCAAGACTGTGTTTTAAGAAATAGTACTACTGTTGAATTACTTTTGAAGAGAATCAATCCTAAAAGAACGTTTAGAATAGAAAACTAGTAATCAACTCCCGTGGCCATTTCACTTTAAAAAAGGTGAAGACTTCTTTAAGAATATATATTTTCATGTTATTGTGGTTTTTAAAACAACGTGCCCACACTTGGACAGTTTGGCATTGCAGTTACAATAAGTTTGAGTGGTTATGTATATGTTTCCGTCGCCAAACCATTGTTCCCTTTTTCTGCACATTTTCTCCTGCTGCAAAGAAATTAGCAGAGTGCTTTCAGATTTTTTTATTTGTCATTCATTCATTCATTCATTCATTCATTCATTCATTCATTCATTCATTCATAAAATTTATTGGCTGCCCATCTTACCATAGGTTAACTAAGTGACTTACAGTTACATATAAGTTAAAACATTAAAAGTTAAAAATCAAACATTAAAACTGAAGACACATGGGGAGGGCGGGGATAGAGTGTGTGTGTGTGGGGGAGATGGGATTTGTTATTACTCAATCATTGAGCTGTTCCCCCATTGGGGGCCCAAGTCAACTGGCAAAGTTACGTCTTTAGGCCCTTACGAAAAAATAGAAGGTTGGGGCCAACCTCACATGGGGAGGCAGGGCAAGATGTTCCAGAGGGCAGGAGCAATAGTAGAGAAGGCCCTCCTCCTGGGCCCCGCCAGCTGGAATAATCGGGCTGACGGGACCCACAGCATGCCTCCTCTGCGGGCACGAGTGGTATGGCCAATCCCAGTGGCATGAGACAGTCCCTCAAGTAAACCTGGACCCATGCCACTAAGGGCTTTAAAAGCGATCACCAACATCTTGAATTGAACCCAGAAGCAGTCTGATAGCCAATGCAGCTTGCGGAGCAGTGATATTAACAGGGGCTATTCTTGGGGGCCCAAAACTACCCGCGCTGTTGCACTCTGCACCAGCGGTAGCTTCCGAATGCTCTTCAAGGGTAGCCCTATGTAGAGCACATTACAGTCGTCCAGCTATGAGATGACTAGGGACTGAAGAACTGAGCGCCAGTGAATCAAACCAAATATTTGCTTTGGTTGTGTCTCTGGGCATTCCTTATTTTTGTTTACTGCTGTTGTTCGTGTTTTCATGAGATCCCCAAGTCCCACTGCACTCTGCTGCCTCCCTGGTTATTTCGGTTACCTTCTGGGAGACAAAGCCCCCTGGCTGCCATTCCCTGATGATATTTGGGATGATCAAAATGTTTTTCTTGACTGGAAAGCAAGGACTTCCACACGTGCTTCTTGGCCACTTAAACCAGGGGTCTTGTGGACTTCAGTTCCCAGAATTCTGGGAACTGAAGTCCACAAGTCTTAAAGTTGTCAAGATGGCAGACCCTTGACCTAAGCCATGGCCCCTTCCCTGAAAAAAGATGTTCTTTTTGCTTTTCAGTGGTTCATTTCCATCAAATTGAATAACTTTGCCTGAAAACAGGCAGAAGCAAATTTGGCACTTAGTTGTAGATACAGGTAGTCCTCGAGTTACAGCCATTCATTTAGTGGCTGTTCCAGCACTGGAAGTCACTTACCACCTGTACTTGCACTTAAAACTGTCGCAGCATCCCCCACGGTCACGTGGTTAAAATTTGGGCGCTTTGGCAACTGGCATGCATTGATGATGGTTGTGGTGTCCCAGGGTCATGTGGGACACATGACCTTCGCAGCTGGCTTCCAACAAGCAGAGTTAATGGGGGAAGCCAGATTCACTTAACAACATTCTTAATAACTGCAAACAGTTTGCTTAACAACCATGAAGAAAATTCTAAAATAGGTTGTGACTCACTTAACAACTGCCTTGCTTAACAATGGAAATTCTGGTTTCAATTTTGGTCATAAGTCGAGAACTACGGTACTTGTATGCATATGTACAGACACCAGGGGTCACAAAAAAAGCATGGCAGGATGGAGAAAACTGAAGCCATTCACCATTGTGCTTTGGATAGAATGTGCCCTTAAAGTGAGATTGTTTTCTTGCTAATAGTATAGAAATGGCTTGCAATTGTCTTTTTCGAAAATATTTTTCATCCTAAATGTTCCCGACTAGTTTCTCATTCAGGTACTAACCAGATCCAACCCTCAACCCACTCAAGTTTACCTAGTAAAAAATAAGTATAGATATAAATAAGTACAGTTCCACCAAGGATAGATCAACCGCTCTTTTCCTTTCCTTTCCTTTCCTTTCCTTTCCTTTCCTTTCCTTTCCTTCCTTCCTTCCTTCTTTCTTTTTGTTTTCTTTCTTTCTTTGTTTTCTTTCTTTCTTTCTTTCTTTCTTTCTTTCTTTCTTTCTTTCTTTCTTTCTTTCTTTCTTTCTTTCTTTCTTTCTTTTTTCTACAAAAATCCTTAATTTTGAAACAGTATTCATTCAGGGTAACCTGACTATGTGGCAACAACAACCGTGAACTTTCGTGGTTGAAATTTAATGAGTGATGCAAATAGTTGCGCGCCACTAGAGGCCAGTCATGAATTGATTACTTGGATCTTGGTTTGTTCAGTGAGCCACCACTGACCAGAGTCACACAACACTGAGCCAAAAACCAAACCATTCATTTTGTGTAGAAAGTTCTGAGAACCAGCGTCAATAAAAAATCAAATCCTTTTAAATAACTTTCTCTAAAGTCTCATGAAGTTATGGAGAAGTAGATGTTTCTTAGGAAACACTATATACCGGTAGTAGTATTTTAAAAGCTGAAATTTCCCTTATGTTAATTGTGACTTGTGATTATTACATGGGTGATTATCATTTTGTTACCAACAAAACTGAAAGTTATTTTCTTCCTGGATGCCTTTTCAATTTTGCATTCCAATTGACCATCGTGAGATTTGTTTTAACCCAAACTGACCCTGCTTATCATTCCAATCTCAGATACAATTTGGTGCTTTCACCTGCTGAGACCAAAGTTGTATATCCTTCATGGAAGATCTGTGATGCCTGTATAAATGGGGTTCTTTGGTATTCAATCCATGATTATGTCTGTCCTCTTGAACTTTCTAATGAGCTAAGAAGATGCAGCTAGTCAAATAATATTTCAAATGAGGGCTCTTTTAATTTTGATTTTCTGCCAAGCTATAGCCAGGAAAGTTTAATTTTTCAATAATCTGATTTAGATATTATGCTACTCCATCATTGTCACCGTGCAGTAATTCCTTGTAGAAGTTACAATAAACCATAAAGAGGTTTATTTGATTTTAGCTTAGTTGTTTGAACCCAAGGGCATTCGGTTAGCAAGGACCACCTTTGAAGACCTGGTAATGCCAACCAATATTTAGGATTTATTGGCAGCAGAATCAGCAGCAGAATAAGAATACAAATATTGTTCTGAGCTATTTTTGGTGACAGTGGAAATATTATACCACGGCTTTCAAAGCACTTAAAGAAACGTGGTTACAGATGATACCTAGATTGGTCTTCCCCAAGATGAGCGCAAAACTAAAATGAATGTTTTACACTTTTAGCAGGCAAGAGATACAGTGACTTCTGTATGCAAATCTATCTCCCCCTCTCCAATTATTTCATTTATACCAAGGTGCTGATGCTTTCTCATAGGTACATACCATTAAAACCAACAGTGGCTGTTTAAGAGGTAGACAGATAAAATACGGGATGGAAAACATGGATTTTTGTGGTTTGAGAGTCATATCCTACATTTTCTTTTAGGAGCTCCAGGCAGCAAACACTGCATTCCCACCTCTAATTCCCCCCGCCCCCCCAACAACCACATGAGATGGATTGGTCTAAGAGAAAATGATTGACCACCAAGTCACCCAGTGAGCCGCTGTAGCTGAAGGAGGACTACACATTAGGTCTTCCTTCTTGGGGATAACCTTAAAATCTTCCTGCTCTTGGTTCAGTGCCTCCCTTGCTCTATTATATTTTGTTCAATCCAATTTTTAACACAGTCTCGATGAAAGACATCCTGAAGTATATACAGGTGGTCCTCAACTTACGACCACAATTGAGCCCAAAATTTCTGTTGCTAAGCGAGACATTTCAGTGAATTTTGCCCCGTGTTATGAATTTTCTTGCCACAGTTGTTAAGTGAATCACTGTTGTTAAATTAGTAACATGGTCAAGTGAATCTGGCTTGTTAGAGGGTAGCAAAAGGTGACCACATGACCCTGGGACACTCATAAATAGGAGCCAGTTGCCAAGCGTCTGAATTTTATGTGACCGTGGAGATGTTGCCATGGTCGTGTGAAAAACGGTCCTAAGTCATTTTTTTCCCAATGCTGTCATAACTTCAAACGGTCACTGAACAAACTGTGGTAAGTCGAGTATCTAGTATACTGTAAATCAGTGGTTCTCAACCTGTGGGTCGGAACCCCATTTGGGGTCGATCGACCATTTGATGGGGGTCGCCAAGCAAGGCTGTCCGCCATTTTTTTTGTCCGCCATTTTTTTGTCCGCCATTTATTCCCCCTTTTCTGGCGGGTGCCTTACCTCCCTTGGGCTGGGCCAGCTGGTGGTCGGCCTGCTCTGTCTCTGCCGCTTGCCAGCTATACCTCGGCCAGCGCAGGGGGTGGAACCACTCATGTGCGGCGCTCCCGGGCAGGGAAAGTCCTCGACTTACGACCGGTTTAGTCCTCGACTTACGACCGGTTTAGTCCTCGACTTACGACCGGTTTAGTCCTCGACTTACGACCGGTTGGGGTCGTGGCATTAAAAAGGTTGAGAACCACTGCTGTAAATGATAGTCTACCTGTGGCTGTTTGTGTTTAAGACAATTAATGGGTCAGTTGAAGTATGAAAAAAATATGCAGCATGATGGCAAAGAATGAGGTAAGCTGAGAGAGCTGTGAAGCAGACGCGTGAGATGCCACCGTTTGCATTAAAACACTGTCACCTGCTATACAAAAATGGCACAGCAAGTCATGTGTTCACAGGGATGAGACAAACAACCAGAGCAAGTAGGAAAATAACAGAATCATGCAGCTACTTTGATAAAATGTGACCGAGCCACAGCTGTCTAGTTCCGAGCAACTCATTCAAATGACTGTCGCGTATCTTTCGGCTGGTGTTTGCTTGACCTCGCTTTAAGGTGAAAACAAAATTGGCTATATTTCAGTGATGGCGAACCTTTTAGAGACCGAGTGCCCAAACTGCAACCCAAAACCCACTTATGCATCGTCGGGTGCCGGGTGGTTGTGGCCCATTGGGTGGTTGTGGCCCATTGGGTGGGCGTGGCTGCGGTGGTAACAGCAGACTGGGTGGGACTAAAAAGTTCAATCAATCAATTCCAACTTTGCAAGATTTTTTTTTCCCCGAGAAGTTGAAATTGACTGATTGATTGAACCTTTTTTTTTGCACATGGCGGTGGAGGCCTAAAATGAAAAGGTTTTATAAAACCCAGCTGAAGGCCTAGGACTGGGGCGACGGCGTGCGTGCCCACAGAGAGGGCTTTGAGTGCCGCCTCTGGCACCCGTGCCATAGGTTCGCCACCACTGCTATATTTGAACAAGAAAATCAGCCGAGGCCCTAGGTTTTGTTCAGAAACCAACCAAAAGCAGGAGGGTCGGCTTTGATGGGTAACCTTGCTGATGTTTTATTTGCACACTTGATTGTATTTGGAAAGAGACACACTTGTGTTTATGATTCAGTTGTGAAGGCTCAATACAATTTCACTGGCAATTTTTTTTTTACAAAAAACATGTTATGTTGACTGTAGTTGAGAAAATACTGCTCTCTTTTTTTTCTTTCCAAATGGACAGAATATTGCAGGAAACTAGGAAACATAACATATGCAACTTTGGGTAACAGGGACAGGAATGAAGATATGGTGTGACAGGACGAACTTTCCTAACTTTTTCTTCTCTGAACTCTTTCCTAGGGACATTTGTCCAGGTCCCCATGGTCTTGAAACAGCTGTACATGGAAGGTTTTTTAGTCACACGTTGGAATGATAGAAAAGAGGAAGGGCAGAAGGCACTACTGAAATGGGTTCGAGAGGTAAGCTGAGAGTAGGAGAGGTGTGCTTTCTCTCCCCCCCCGCCCCTCCCGTCTATGTGCAATCCAAAGGGGAGAAGATCTTGAGCCCAAGGTAGCATGCCACGGGAATTCTCTCTCCTCATTTTATAGCAAGTTCAACCCTTTGTTATTGGTTGGGCTGAATAACTTTGGTCTGCAGAGAAAAAACACGCAAGGAGCTTGATTCTGAGTTACTGCGAGTACTGCTTAGTATTTTTATTCTCGTATACATTCAGGAATAGATCTTTGTGTACTCCAGGGTAGTATGCGGGTGTGGATATGTCTCTAAAACGCACATGTAATGCTTTCCCTTTGTCTTGTCCCTTGCTATTTTGAGCAGAAGTGTATTCTTAGCTGTTAAGTCCCAGGGAGAACTGCTTACATTTTAATGTTTCACTTTTCACATAGGGGAAAATTAAATACCGTGAGGACGTCACCAAGGGTTTCGAAAACATGCCCGCTGCGTTTATGGGAATGCTCAGAGGAGACAACTTTGGAAAGGCAATAGTAGAGGTATAAAAGGCACTAGGTTCTGCCTTTGAAAGTTCCATAAATCACTGTACCTGCACTTCCTTATGGTCTGACTTGTCTTCTTGCCAACAATGATCTAATTCTCTAAGATTATGCGAATCTACTATGCCACTGCAGCATGCCTCAAGTGTGGCCAAAACAGAAAATCAAGATTATCATGTGAAGTCTACGGACAAAAAAACCCAAATGCCACTTAGATTTGTTACATCCTGCTGTCAATATGTTATCCAGTTTGAATAAAAGCAGCACCCTGAAAAGATGAAGCACACAGAATCCTTCCTTATCCATAAATAGTTTCTACATCCAGAGATTGTATTCAGACATATTATAGATGGTTGGGTGAGCTTGTGTTGGTTGCGAAATAAATAAATGATATAAATAAAATCAGTTTTATTTGTTACAGTATAGCTTTAACCAGCAAACAACAGAAACAAGAGAATAAAAATAGATAAAACAAAAATAAACATTTACAGTCCATCTTCAATCTTACTGTGGCTGCCCAGCTGAAGCCTTGCTGCTAGACAACAAAACTTTGCAACTTTGTGGGTTGTAGAAAAAGCCTTATGGGCAAGCAGAAAATCAACAAAGGAACTGGGAATTTCTGCTAGAAGGGGAAGGATAAGATTTTGGCACTAGGTTATATAAAACGTGCAATACAGGTGGTTCTCAGGTTACGAACCTAATTGGGACTGGAATTTTTCACTAAACAAAATAGGAAGTGACCATGGAATACAGCAGCTTCTTCATCTCCACCATGCTGTGAAGGGTAGCCAAAAGGGCAGAGAGGGGGGTGGTGGAGGGGAGAAGATGGCAGAGTTGAAGCAGAGGGGCCACTGCAATGGTCATAAGTGTGAGAACTGGTAGAGCGTCCCTTTCTTCAGTGCCATCGGTGGGATTCAGCCAGTTCACACCAGTTCGCCAGAATCGGTAGCTAATTTTTTGTTGCCCAGGCCCAGAATGGACATTCGGAAGCGGCATCCACACAGAGAACCAGTTGTTCACATATTTGAACCCCACCACTGGTGCCACCTTATTGTTGGATGGTTGCTGAACAAAGGGATGTAACACAAGGACTACCGGTATGTGTTAGTGATTCCAAATCTTGAGTGCCACAAGGGCAGAGACAATGAACCATGGGGAGATTGCCATACCTACTCTGAAACAGTGGAGAAGGAAGAGGGTTACAATGAGTAAATGCCCAACATTTGGTCAGGGAGTAAATATAGGCAGCCATGCTTCCAATTGTGTTTGATAACTACAAAAACTGAGCAGTCATTTCAAATTATACTGTCACTCAGTTTCAAGTGACTGGGCAATCAGATTTTTAACTGGAAACCGAACAAGTTTGTAGGAAGTATTTGAAAAATGCCACGAGCAGCTTTTGCTTAAATGACCTCTTCCAACGGGATGGGAAAGTATCACTGAACAGAGTAACCCAGTGGCTGACAGATAACTTTAAGCTAATAATGAAAGATTAAAAGGCAAACTTCTTTCCACTCTGGTTCTAGTCTAAAAGCTGCATTTGGGAATACTGAATCTAGAGCTAAGGAATTTGGATTGAATAGTCCAGAAGGGTATAAAGTCAGAACATGGGTCAAGTGTCATGTAAAATAATAGTTGTAATAAAACTTTTTGTCTGATGGCACCTATTCTATTACTTTGTGTGGAATGATATGGTAGGATTGCTGCAGTACTTCTTCGGACCACACCGGCAACATAATCTAGCATCTTTTGCCATTGGGTTCCCCCCCCCAATATTTTTAAAAAAATGGTTCCATCACTAGTCTGACTAACATTTTTAGGCTTTCTTTACCTTACCTTAGTTTTTGGACAGTTAGCCATCAGATCTCCTTAGGACTATATTGGACCAAGAGAGTAAGGCCAGCACTAAATAGAATAATAGCATCATCCACATAAAGGAAGGTGGGGAGATGTTACAAATTATGGGTTTTCAAATGTCGAAAGATGGGTTCAAACAATACGCTTACCCTCAAGCGCACAAGCTCCCTTTGAGAGGCATCGGATCCAATCCCATGCACCCTTTTTCTTAAAACACCTTTCTCGCAGATTAATTCACTTCTCTGCTTGCTCAAAATGAAATTGCTCAAACCCCCATTGTTCCCATTTGTTATTCTTGATATTTTGAAAAGTACATTTTGCTAAGAATGCAGGTAATCCTTGATTTACAGCCACCTATTTAGCAATCTTTTAAAGTGATGACAGCACTGGGGAAAAAAAGGTGACTTATAACTAGTCCTCGTATGTATGATCGTAGCTTCAGTCACGTGATCAAAACTTCGGCATTTGGCAACCAGCACATATGTACAGTGGTTGCTGGGTCCTGGGGTCCCGTGTTCACACTTGTAACCTTCTCAGCCAGATTCCCACAAGCAAAGTCAACACAAATTTGCTCAATGACTGTGTGATCAACCATGATGATTCTCTTAATGGCTGCAGCAACAAGGTCATAAAATCAGGTGACCGCTTTGCTTAGTAACAACCTGCGGTCCCAATTTGGTTGTAAGTTGATTACCTGTGTAGATGAAAGGGATGCAATTGCCACTGGTGGTCCTTATTTTTAATCTGGATGTTTTGATTTCCCCCCCCTAAATATCAACTGCTTATGTTATTTTAAAAAATCCTAAATTATACACAAATTATAAAACTAGAGCTGGGCAGACAATTCCCTCCCCCCCCAGGTCTTATAAGTTAGAAGAGAAAAAGTCATAGATGGAATGTTTCTGCCCTTCTTTAATTATGAAAGGCCAACAGTGTTGGTAGGAGTGCACTGATTTTTATTTCCCACCAATCTTTCCAGAAGTCCACTGCCTCTTGAGTTTCATTTAAAACTCTTGGAGATATCAAGAAGGAACATCTGTAGGACTCTTCTTAGCTGCAGAGCTTCTGCCATTGCTATACAGTGGATAAAACACTAGAGACTTCTCCATTCCCAGGAGAGCTGTTGTCTGAATGTCCCTGTCCATAGTTTTGATAGAACACTGTAATTTAAAAAGCCATTTGTGCCCATTTCTAATTCAACTAAGAATATTCAAAAGAGAATGTAGGATGTTATAGGATACATGCTAGGCCTCCTGCATTTGGTTTTATGACATGAAAGTATGGCTGCTTGCTGTTCATCCCACCTAAGCAGACAGTATCTTTACCCAAGTAATCTCCCTTTCAAATTGTCTACAGAGATTCTCAATCATCCAGGTCAGGGGTAGGCAACCTTGGCTCTTTTATGACTTGTGGACTTCAACTCCCAGAATTCCTGAGCCAGCATGGCTGGTTCAGGAATTCTGGGTATTGAAGCCCACAAGTCATAAAAGAGCCAAGGTTGCCTATCCTTGATCCAGGTCATAGTTGTCCCAAAGGTGCTTTTTTCCAAAAGGCACCTGGACTTTCTCATTTGTTTTTCTTTGAAAACATTTTGCTTCTCATCCAAGAAGCTTCTTCAGTTCTACAGTCTTCTTCAGAACTGAAAATTTTCAACGAAAAACAGCAAGAAAGCCCAGTTGGAAAAAAAACGCACCCTTGGGACTTCTTTTCAAAGCCAATCTTCCCCTGGGAAGGGCTAATGTAGGACAAGTGTCAACATAGTCATGCATGCACCCATCCCACTCACACACACACACACCCCCGAGGCAGTCACAAGCTCTTGAAGGCAAACTGAGTAGCAGGGCTGCTTCTCACTAAGTTGAATTGACACGCTGTGAGTTCAAGCAAGACATAGAACCTTTTATATATTTTTTTATTATCTTCATTTACAGACTGAAGGGTCAATGTGTACTTGAATACATATTCTAACTTGATCAATGTGTTAGGTAGAAAAGGCTATAATTTAACAGTCAGTCATGAATCAAGAACCTTTGGTTACATATACTTCTTAATGGCTTCTTCCAGCTTTTCTTTATTTGCTCCAGAAAATTCATGCACCTGAAATACAGACAGTTCAAGTTTAAGCCTTTTTACCTGAAGAGTCGCCCCTCTGTTAACAGATATTGTCAACATTAGACGGTTATTTAATGTTGATTCCATGCAATGATGATCAAAGAAAGTGAACACTGCTCCTTAACAACTTCCTTCCTTGAGTAGTTTACCGCAAATATAATTTTCTAAAGTATATAGTACTTAAGAGACTTATAATCACGCATATTATGAAGCACAACTCTGGGCGGCTCACTATAACAAAACCCCAAACCTGCTGCCAACCATCATTCGCCAAACCATCTAACATCTTAATCCCCAGACTCCAATCTCACCATATCCTAACGTTTTGGGGAAAAAAACAATTCTTTATAGCTTTCTGGAAGGCTGAGCGGTGATCTGCCAGATTCCAGAGGGAAAAGTGTATTTCAGAGAGCAGGGGCTGCTCTGGAAAAAGTAACTCTTCCTAGGACCTACCAGGGGGGCAATGGTTTTTGAACAGGATGGTAACATACATTTCGAACTTCGTTCCCGAAACCCAAGGTTACTAGATTTTGTGGCCTAATTCACAAGCCTGTTTAAAGATACTATATTAGTATTAAACAAAAGCATATCTCTTACTCCATATTTAAACCTCATCTAGAACTCATGGGAAACAAAGTACAGGTAGTCCTCAACTTATGAGAGCCCAAATATATATGCTGCTAAGTGAAAAATTTGTTAAGTGAGCTTTGCCCCATTTTACGACTTTTCTTGCCACATTTGTTAAGCGAATCACTGCAGTTGTTAAATAGTAACAGGGTTGTTAAGTGAATTTGCTTTCCCCGTTAACTTTGCTTGTCAGAAGGTCGCAAAAGAGGATCACATGACTTTGGGACACTGCAACTGTCATAAATGCAAGTCAGTTGTCAAACATCCAAATGTAAATCACGTGTCCATGGGGATGCTGCAACAGTCACAAACCTGAAAAATGGTCATTAAGTCACTATTTTTAGTGCCGTTGTAACTTTGAACGCTCACTAAATGAACTGTTGTTAAGTTGAGGACTACCTGTACACATGGAGGCTTGGACAGGATGAATGTAGCCATGTACCAGATTTCAAACTAAATCTTTTAAAGGTGAGAATGCATTTGGATCCCTCTGCAAGTACAGCATTCAAGATCAACACATGTTTTGCCGGAAATCTGAGAGCAAATACCTTTTCATTATTTTTGTAGAACTGGAATGTTGGCATGCACTTCACATCACAGTGAGAGGCCACATCCTAGAAGAGATGAAAAAGGTTACTCCACTCCGTGTGACATGGTACGTGAGCAGAATTCTTTGTGCCCCAGAATTCTTTCCCATTCTGTTATTCACGCGCTGCCAACTGAGGCAAAATGCAGTATCGGTGTCTTGCAGAGAGGAAAAGGCAAAAACTCTGTATCAAAATGAATCATAGGTGGATATTTTCCTCTTGAGTATTTCTGAGGCGAAGAAAAGTGAAACACGTTCTAGTGAGATAAGAAACCTGGTAACTTCCA